GCGGAGAACATCCCGTGGCTTACATCAGTAGAAATTTGTTACCGAGAGAAGTAAGCTACGCTGCCATTGAAAAAGAATGCCTGGCCATGGTGTGGGCCCTGAAGAAACTACAACCATACTTGTATGGACAGCCATTTTCGTTGCTCACGGATCACAACCCGTTAGTATGGTTGAACCGGATGGCAGGGGACAATGCCAGGCTGTTGCGCTGGAGTTTGGCGCTGCAGCCCTTTGACTTTACTATACAGTGCCGCCCGGGAAAACAGAATGGGAACGCTGACGGGTTGTCGAGACAAACGGAGTTGGAAAAATGATCCGTGAGCATCCCCGGACATCCCCAAGTCAATCCGTGCTGGATCTGACTGTGTATGCCGGCTTGTGGGCAAGGGGGAGCAGTGTAGCAGAACCCCTTTTTGGCTGTCCCATCCATTTCATTTATTGTTGGCACTGCAGGGGTTTTCCTGTGCCTGGATTACCCAGAATTACACGTAACTATATGTGGACATACTTTATTCGGTATAAGAATACCAGCTTACATGTGAACGACTAAATTCACCATACGAACAAAAGTACCGAACAACCAGACCACCCTGATGTGAAGAATGAATGTAATTTTCCTCCCTGATTGCTTTTCATATTCCCTTGTACATACGAACACGCTGCTATATTCCCTGGGTAACCGCCATTTCGGCAGCCGAACACGTGGCCGTAGCCACCTTAAACCCGCGAACAGCGGTGTTTGGTCGTCGAGTGTCTGGAACTCAAAACGGACACTCGACTAGCTGAACACTGCTAAGACCTCCAGGGCTTCAGAAAACACAGATGAAAACACACGAACGGCCCGTCGTTCGGTAGGATGAATCCCACAAACTAGGGGATTCATCCGGTTACCGAATGCACTATGGATGGCCTTTCGGGACTTTTGGGGCACGAATGGAGACCGACTGCAGGGCCAGATCTCATTGAACTATTTTAGGCTACCTTACCCATGCGATCGGTCAAAACTTTACCTTCCCATAACTCCCGAACCCCTGGTCTGATCTGGGTGATTTTTGGATATGTTTCTCACCCAGATCAGGGCTACCAGGGGATACCATATTTAAGGGTATATCACCCATATTTGGGGTACATCTAAAAAGTGGGGAAAAGTATGCCTTGTATAATTGTGTTAATTGCTAATCTAAGGGGAGGAGATGTGTGGGAGGTAACTTCTATGGGATTGGATACTGTACTAATTGTGGTGAATCCCTCCCTTGCATGGGAGAATCTCATAAAAGCAGGAATGTTGCCATTAAACTTCAGTTCTACTCCTGATACTGTGTGTCATCCAGTGATTGGGAAAGGTGATGGGATACTATTGGATTGTATTGCTGATTGTGCTGGATATTCTCTTGGATTTATTACTTGTTCCTGTATCCTCTTAATATATTGGTGGAGTTCACTGTGAAAAATCAGCTCTCGGCTACATACTGTAATAAAGTACACATATTTGTATTCAGCGATGTCTCACGTGTAAAACAGCACCCCCTATGTAAAGGTTTTATGGGGTTTTGAGAAGTTACAGAGTCAAATATAGCATGTTACTTTTATCAGTTTTTTCACATTGAAATTCACCAGATTTGTTACGTTGCCTTTGAGACTGTAGGGTAGCCGAGAAATGAGAATTACCCCCATGATGGCATACCATTTGCAATAGTAGACAACCCAAGGTATTGCAAATGGGGTATGTCCAGTTTTTTTTAGTAGCCACTTGGTCACAATATATATATATATATATATATATATATATATTATTTCGTTCTATGTGTATTTTGATATCATTATATATATTAATATCAAAATACAGTTAGAACAAAATTACACGTTATTTTTTTTAACATATTAAAATTTTTTATATTATATATAATTATGTATATAATTATATATATATTTAATCAATATCAGTGTACGTGTATTTTGATATTAATATATATATATTGTAACAGAGTGTTGGGGATGGTGGTCAGGGGTGTATATCTGGCACCCAGACTTTTGCACAGCCACTATCCTGACATGTGGGTAAGCACATGCAGCCCCAGGGAAAGTTAAGTTTAAATTTAGTTTTTTTTTTCCTCTTGTTATTTGGGTCCCTGGGGTGGAGTATTCGGAAGAGCAGGGTGGGCCGATTCTCCACCCACTGTCAGAGTGGTTGTGCATGAGTCCAGCCCAGGTTTCCCATAGAGTTCTGGCTCACTGCCTAACGAGGTCATTAGCCTCACCTGTAGGGGCTGTGAGCAGCTATATAACTGCAGTTAAAGCAGGGTGAAGTGAGGGAAGTGTTTTGGAGGAGAAAGAAGGTGTTTTGTGGAGAAAGAAGATTTGATGATTCATTGTATCCTGTTACTTCACAACAACAGAAAATAAACAGGCCAGAGGCCTTTTTGAAACTGGACTTTGTCTTGACCTGGTTTTCTTACCCTAGAGGGCTGTGCGGTTGCCAAAAGATCCTGGACAAACACACACAGGAAAGTAAGTTTGTCACAATATATATATATATATATATATATATATATATATATATATATATATATATATATATATATATATATATATATATATATATATATAAAATTCAAATACACTTATACAGTGTATATATATTTACATACACACAAACACACTTAGATTATATATATATATATATATATATATATGATCTAAGTATATATTTTATTTTAAACTGTGTTTTAACTTTTTTTCCCCCAATTACAGGCAGCAGGGGGAGTACTGTATGTCATTACAGGCACTCCCCCTGCTGGCATTGTAATGGACGGCTATGCCATCCATGTGATCGTGAGTGATGTGGATAGCAATCAATAAATTAATTATCTTGTGTATCTGCCCATGACCAAATTAAAGAAGTAATACGTGCACGCTCCTGAAGTAATTCACACCAGACACAAGTTTCGGGTTAATGAAAAACTTGAGGAAAATCTTTATTCAGAGGGGACGACATGTCCCTTATAAAGCAAAGTTACATCACAGGCATTGTCAGAGATAACATGAAATAATACATCAATAATTGGTTAGATGTTAAGTGGTTCATTTAATGCTCTGCCTACTGGGGGTGATGTCACTGGCATCCTGCAGGTCTCCCCCGGATTCCAGCGCCATCTTGTTAATGAGGGTGTTAGTTGATGTTAAAGGGAAAACTCCCTAGTGGCCATTTTAGTTAAATCACATAGTAAATTGAATGATGCTGATATCAGTTATATTGAGTAAATAGACATTTTACTGGTATAAATTGGGTTAATATTTTTGTCCACAACAGTCCCCCCTAAAATGACTATTTACGAAAGGAAGGAAAGAAAAGACAGCCAACTCCTAGCTAACCCTGATAATGTCCCTAATTTGGATGCAGCTCATCTGTCTTAACAGGCCTCGAACAATTCACTGCGCATGTATCCCGCAGCAGCTAACCCACTACATCTCCTGCCCGTAGAGACAGACAATATCCCTATACTGTCCCTATAAAGCGGTAGTAGTTGTCTGTTTGAAACGATGGGACTGAAGTGTTGTGTGTGGAGTGTCACAGTCAATATCATCAGCGTATTGGAGTATATATATGGCGGTCAATAGTCTGGTCCATGGTCTTTTGTAGGTACCTTTGTACACATGGAACCACACAACAGGTTAGGAAGAGGAAGAAGATCATTACAGTAAGAACTGCCATCCCTATTTGGAAAAGAGTCATTTGCCATGCACTCATCCATACAAACCATTTATCCCAAGAGTTGGGAACCCCTGAATTCTTCTTTAATTCGTCAGAGAGATTTTCTAATTTCTCTATGGCCATAGTCACTTTACCATTAGGACCGGTATTGTCCAGGATAAAAGTACAACACGTCATCGTCTCAGAGAGTATTTTACATTCGCCCCCTTTTTCAGCTAGAATCATGTCTAAGGCTATCCTGTTTTGGAATGTCATGTGGGAGGTAGCCTGTAACTGCTCGGCTAAGCCCTGTAGGGCATCTCGAGTGTAGTTGACAAAGTGTTGTTGGTTGTAGTAGATGTAATTGATCCAGTTAACATTTTTATTAGCAGTAATAAGTGGGACCAAGGATTCGAATCCTGCTGCCACTTCATCTCTGGCTTTGAACTCATTTGGTACCCCCCTAGGTACTCCAATGGCATCTATACCTCGAATAGGACTGTCTCTTTACAACTCTAAGATGTGTATATGAGGAATCATATGGACCTTAGTGGTCATCAGGGAAGATGTGAATAGGCATGATAACTTTAGTTCGAGTACATTCTCCCCACCATAAACCAGTCATTTTTGAGTTGCATGTCACCAGATAACCAATAGATATCTCCCACAGACTTAATCTGATTTACCAATAATGTTGTGGGTGGATTCCAGGATATTGCACAGTAACCAGAAGGAAATTTGCCTCCGAATTTACATGTGGCTCCGTGCATTGTATAGCAAGTGTAATTACCTGGGTACACGGTGACTCCATCCGGTGGTCTGGTGTTCCCTTGAGTAATTGGGTAAGCCTTTTCCATGCTGATGAATTTACAACCGTTTGTGCATAGAGGCTTAAGAAACATGTTTCAACATCGGGGGGTAGATTTAGGGGTACTGTACCTAGGTGGGGCCTAGCTCCACCACAAACATAACAGTTGGTTTTATTATGAGAGTTAGCATTGTATCTCATCCATTCAAGCCATAGATTAGTATCTGAAAAACCAGTCTCCACAGTCATAGTGTCTTCAAATGTGGGATTGGCAATAGCCACCATGTCCTTGATGTGTGGTTTCAGGGGATTTACTGTCATGTGTGTTGACCCTACCCAGTCAGGTGATGTAAACATGTCTTGCAAATAAAATGTTCCCAACTTGTTGTATGAGCCATCCCCTTTCCAATACATTCTCCAATAATTTTATTGGAGTAGACCCTGTTGGTTTACACAAAGTCATTCGGTATAACAAAGGTTTCCCTTGTCTGTCAACTCGGTCTAAGGCAGTCTGCGGTCTGTAACCCCATGGTCGGCCTGTGCTCCAACCCGCTGCTTTCCATGAGCTACAGTGATGTCCCCAATGACCGCCCATCACACAAATGTATGGGTCCTTCTTGTTTGGTATGTCTTTATATATTGCTGAGTGTTGTGATTGTGGGAAAGTACTAGTAACAATATCACAGTAATCAAAAGTAAATGTAGCCACATGTGTGTTGGAAGAATTGTACCAAAATGTGTAAACATGATTGTCTTTGGTAATAGCAACTTGTTGGGCCTCTAAGAGGCCTAGCAGCAAACATAAATATAAAAGGCTCATGTTGGTGTGGGATCCGCTTCCTCTGGGTCAGGAACCTTCTTACAGTGTGAAGCGTGTATCCAAGTGTTCTTCCCAGCCAACTTTACAGAGGTAACTGTAGTCAGTAGTACTTGGAATTGACCTTGGCTCAAGAGTATGTTTTCTTAGGAACTTCTTGACCATAACCCAATCACCAGGTAATAATGTGTGCGTGTCTGTATTGAATTCTGGATCTGGAATAGAAGAAAACACCTGTGCATGGATTTTGGTCAAGGCATGAGAGAGTGCAGTTATATAATCTACCATTGCATCTGACTGGAGTTGAAGTTGTTGTGAAAAGTAACAACCTAACCTGGATGCTGTCCCAAACAAAATCTCGTAGGGGGAGAAGTTAAACTTCCCCCTTGGGGTATACCTTACACTAAAGAGTGCTATAGGGAGACTCTCCGGCCAATGAAAGTTAGTTTCCTGCGACATTTTAAGCATTCTGGGTTTCAAAGTGCCATTCATGCGTTCTACCTTACCACTACTCTGTGGGTGATAGGGTGTGTGAAAAGCAAGGGTAACCCCCAGTGCTGCCCAGATCTCCCTGGTCAATAACGCAGTGAAATATGTACCTTTCAATTACTTCGGGGGCTCCGTATCTGCAGATAACTTTGGTGAGTAGGTGCTTAGCCGTAGTCTTTGCAGTGAGGTTGGAAACTGGGAAAGCTTCTGGCCATCCTGAAAACATATCCACTATGACTAACACGTATTCGTAATGGCCACTCTTTGGCATTTGAATATGATCAATTTGGATCCTTTGGAAGGGATACTGTGGCCTGGCCAAATGATTCGGTGCAGCTTTAGTTATTTTCCCTGGGTTGCATTTAGCACAGATAGTGCAGGATCGGCAGTAGTTTCGAGTTAAGGTAATGATCCCAGGTGCTTCGAAATACTTGTCAATCAAGGAGTTCATGAGTTGTTTCGACAAATGTGCTGGTCCATAAGCCCATTGGACAACAGCCAGGTACATATTTTTGGGTAGACAGAATTTGAGGTTGATTGTATATATATCATTCTGGATGATTGCTCCTTTGTCCTTCCAGCTTTGTTTTTCCTGCGGGGTAGCAGCGGCCTGTTGCTCTCTCAGGAATCTAAGGTCAGTGGGTTGGGTTTGCATGGTGTAAATAGGGGTCCTTTCATTGGACACTCTTCTGTCCACTTCCCAATTCTGGCGCGCTGCATCTTTAGCAGCTTGGTCGGCCAGATGGTTACCATGGGCTTCTTCTGAATTCAGTTTCCCATGGGCCTTGACTTTTAGTATAGCTACTTCTTCTGGCAGTAGTAAGGCATCCATTAATTCATTAATGGTCGCACCATGTTTTACAGGAGTTCCTGTTGCTGTAAGGAATCATCTGGTCTTCCAGATTAAGCCAAAGTCATGCGCTACTCCTAGAGCATACCTGAGTCTGTGTAGATGTTGACACACTTTCCTTCTGATATTCTGCATGCCACTGTGAGGGCTATCAACTAGGCTTCTTGGGCTGATTTGGAGGAGGGAAGTGAGGATGCTCGAGGTATTTGGTCTTCTGTGGTGACTGCATACCCGGTATGGTATTGACCCTGTTTGTCTGCGAATCCGGAACCATCCACAAACAGTGTGTAATCAGGGTTTGGCACGGCAGTTTCATGCACTGTGGGAAGATGGGTAGTTTCCATCTTCATCTGTTCAAAGCAATCATGTGGAGCTTCTGGGTCTGGTTCTGCAGGAGGCACATCTTCACATATTTCTGCATGATACCGGGGGTAACCGATAGTTTTGTAATTTATGGTTTTCTTAGTGACTCCCGTCACTGTGAGTTGCACATGTGTTGCAGTGCTCCATTCTTTGGCCATTGGCCTGAGTTTTTTCCATGAGAGATCTGAAGACTTGGTGAAAGAAACATGGGGAACAGCCACCTCCACAAATGCGATACCTCCATCGGTAGACAGACTAGGATGACAATGTTCACTTTGGAGTCACAGAATAAGTCTGTCAATGTAATCTGCACCTCCACCAGGCTAAGCAATTCTTCTTCATAGTATGAGTCAGGACCTGGAGTATCTCAAAACCACAGGGTGCAATGTAGTTGTGTTTCGGGTTGTTCATCATGCGGAATTGTGGGCTTTTCAAACTGTAGTTCCATGTAAACCTCAGGATGTATATGTAAATTGTACCAGTATTGTGGAACTCCCCCCTTGGGAAGGGGCAGAAGAGTGGGCGGATTCAGAGTATAACATCGTTGCAGAGTAACGTTGTCTGGTAAAACAAGAGAAGTTTGAAGGCGAAGGTGTCTCTGACAGGAAAGATGTTTCGGTTGGACTTGGTTCAGAATAGCAGCGATGTCATGTGGAGCCAGAACAGTCAGTTTATATCCAAGAATGAAATCGTTAGTTTTATCCAGGAGGGCACTAGCAGTGAAGACAGCATGCAAACAGGAAGGACTACCATCTGGCTACGGGGTCAAGCATGCAGGAAAAGTACCCTATGGGGTGCCGACGGGGCCCATGAGATTGTGTAAGGACCCCAGAGGCATGGCCCATCTTCTCAGAGACAAAAAGTTTAAATGGCAACTCGTAGTTAGAAAGGCCCAGAGCAGGGGCCGAAGAGATTGCCCTTTGTAGAGCAAAGTAGCAACTGCAGGCTGTTGAGGACAATGTGAAGGGTTCAGTCTTCAAGGCGTTGTAGAGGGGTTGCATGAGTTGAGAGGCCTCAGGAATCCAAGATCTGCAGTACGTGATGAGGCACAGGAAGGCGTGGAGGGCCTGGTGAGTAGATGGAAGGGGAAGATTTGTGATAGCACAAACTGTCTCTTGTCAGGTGACGCGTGCCATGGGAAAGACAATGTCCCAAGAAGACCACTGTGGGCCTGCACCACTGGAGTTTAGCTTTGGAGGCTTTGCAACCCGCTCCTGCGAGGAAACAGAGAAGATCCACAGAATGGCGTTCAGCTGTTGGAAAGTCATCTGCACATAGCAGTAAATCATCAACATACTCGAGCAGGACCACATCTGGGTGAGATTTCTGCCAGGGTTCTAGTACAGTAGACATTGCTTTGGCAAATTGTGTTGGAGAATTTTGAGGCATGACAGTCCATGTATATTGCTGGCGGCCATGTGTGAAAGCGAATAAATACTGACATGAGGGATCCAAAGGCACACCGAAGAAGGCGTTTGCAAGATCAACCACTGTGAAGAATTTAGCAGTTGAAGGCACTTGTGACAACAATGTATGCGGATTTGGAACGACAGCTGTGTCCCGTTTAGTAACCTCATTGACAGCACGGAGATCCTGAACCATGCAATATTGGTCTGGTTGGCCTTTTTCAGTTTTCTTCTTTACAGGAAACAGGGGAGTATTGCACTGTGAGACACATTTGATTAAGGCTCCTTTTGCAACCAGACTTTCAACTTGTTTGGAGATGGCAAGAGCTTGTGCGTGTTTCAAAGGGTACTGTGGTTGCCGTGGCGGGGTAGCTCCTTCGATGAGTGTGACTACCACAGGTGGGACTCGGAGACGGCCAATGTCATCTGGGCCTGTAGACCAAAGTTCAGTTGGAACAGAATCCAGCGCACTGGGGGCATTGGGGACCCTTGTTTCCTCTGTGGGGGATGTCATGTGCATGAGTAGGGGTAGAGAGCAAAGAACTGAAGTGTCCTTACAAGAAAGTGGGGTAAGTAATTGGACCTGACCATCGGCAGTGAAAGAGATAGAAGCCTGAAGGCAAGACAATACATCAACTCCTAAGAGGTTAATGGGACAGGGGGATGAAACAACGAAGTGGGAGAGAATGTTAGAACCAACTCGCAAGAGTATAGTTAATGGGTTGTTTTGGGGGGTACCATCAACACCCACACAAGAAACATCGAGGTCAGATAAGTAAGAAGTATCTGGCAGTTCTTGTTCTCTAAGAACACTGCGGGCTGCACCTGTGTCAACTAGAAAGGTAGTAGGATGACCCTCAACTGGTAATACTACGGTGGCTAGGGGCCCCCCTTTGTCCCCTGCAGACACTGCCATAACAGGGGTGTCAGACACAGGTTTGCCGGTTACCTATTGTACAAGGTCAAGATGGGATTGATCAGGGCCAGTGTAATGACGTGTATTGGGGTGGCTCGTTTGATGACTTTGACGGGCAGGACGATAAGGATTGGGTACTGTGTGGTCAGGTTGCTGAAAGTCATCTGTATCAAAATTACCTGGAGGAGGATGTGCATTAAACTGACTGGGTGGATAAGTTGCTTGGGTATAATTGTGTGGTGGGTAGTATGGTGCTTGTGGCCGTGGGAATGTCTGTGGAGGATAACCATGTTGAGGGCCCCCATATGTAGTTGTAGAAGTGTTGGGGTGCATTGGAGGTCTGATGAGTGGCGGGCGGGTTACCCGTGGGTGTGGGCAGTCCTTGCGGAAATGACCTGGTAAGTGACAATTAAAGCATACCCTGGCCGGAGGTCCTGGTGCTGGGGACTGTCCTTGTGTACCAGGCATAATAGCCAATGTGGGATGACTCTGGGGCCCCAAGGTGGGTCTGATATTGGGACTAGAAGTAGAAAACATGAGTGGGTTACTCTTCTGTGTTGGCTGCAGAACTGATTTTAAACCCTTTGCTACTAACAAGAGAGTGTCCAAAGGAATAATTCTGTATTCAGGACGTGCAAGTATTAAACCTTTCCTAATAGTCTCTTTAAGACCAGCCACAAAGGCGGCTGACAACATCTGGGTATGTGCTTTGTTATATACACTGAAACCAAGAACAGAAAATGTTTGAGTTAACCTGGAGTGATATTTTTCTACAGACTCAAGTTTGTCTTGTATGATATCATTTATACAAGTGGCCTGGTCAGCCAGTTTGTCCTGGGCCCAGGCCCTGAGTTGCTCACAGAAAACAATGCCTGACTGAAAATCTGTATTAGTAGTGAGAACAGCGTCATTAAAACTCCTTTCCATGATAGGCCAGTAGGCATCCCCAGCCTTGATTTCACACAAACTGTACAAATCACGCCAGGCTGCTGAGTAAGTTTTACTAATCTGGGCAATCCTTCTTGAAAAGGGCATGGGTTGTTTTTCTGGATCGGGGAGAGAGGTTACCAGGGTCGCAGCTTGGGATGGGTTAAATGTAACATACATTGGCGGGAATCCTTCCACTGCTGATGAAGCAGGGAGATGTGTAGCTGCAGTGGCATGTCTCTGGGAAGTTCTGTTATTTGAGGGACGGAATGGGCTATATTCTGGCTCATTGTCATTCTCGGGTGGAACTGGGGGACCATGGTAACTAACAACATCAAGAGAGTTAGGGGCTGGAGCTACCTGGGCATGGGAACAAGGAGGACCTACAGCAACGGTCTGGGGAGTGAGACGTAGTGGGATGGAAACCTGAGGCGGCGGGAGAAGCGTCAGCAGCCTGAGGTTGTCCTGACGTGACAGACTCATGAGCGGATAACTGGGGGTGTTTATCGGAGGGGCAGGAACAGGGACCAGAGTGGGTGAAGGTGCGGGTTGGGTAAGCTGAGACAGGTGATTGGAGAGGGAGGAGATGAGTGAAGCAAGATCGTGGGAAGAGACACCAGAGTTAGAGGTAGGAAGGGGAGGAGGATCTGAAACAGAAACAGGAAGAGCAGGTTGTGGAGAAGGAGGTGGAGGGGGAGGAGAGATAGGTGGAGTAGTGAACAAAGCCAGGAGGGCGGAAATGAGTGACGTAGCATTGGTATCAGAGGGAGGAGGAGGTTCTAACATGGGAGCTGTAGAGATGGAGGGGGATGGAATAGTGGGAGTGGAGCTAGGGGTGAGGAGAGTGGAGAGGGTAGAGATAAGGGACGGAAGATCACGAGGGGAGGAGGGAGGATCCACTACGGGGGCAGGATGAGTAGGAAGGGCTGGAGGATCCGGAGTGGAATTAGAAGCAAGCGCAGCAGTAAGGGTGGAGATGAGTGACGAAAGATCAGGGGGAAGAGAGAGTACGGGTATGGGAGAAGGTTCTGGAACAGGAGTAGGAGGAATGGAAGGGAGTGGGGAAGGAGGAGTGGAACCGAGAGTAGCGGCAAGGGCCGAGATGAAGGAGGAGAGATCGGAGGAAGGAGAGGATACAGGAGGTGAAGGCTCTGGAATGGGGACAGGGGGAGTAGAGAGTGAAGCGGTGAGAGTTGAAACGAGAGAGGAAAGGTCAGGGAAGTGGAGGATGTGGGAGGCAAAGAAGGTTCTGGAATGGAAACGGGGGGAGTAGAAGGGGGTGGAGAAATAGGAGCCAGGGTTGGTGTGAGCGCAATGGTAAGGGCAGAGACTAGGGAGGAAAGATCAAGAGGGTGAGAGGATGCGGGGGTGAAGAAGTTTCTGGGATGGGTGCAGGAGGAGTAAGAAGGGGTGGAGAAGTAGGAGTGAAGGCAGTGGTGAGGGCTGAGACTAGAGGGGGAGGTCGAGGGGTGGAGGTTACAGGGGGTGTAGAAGGTTCTGGAATGGGAGTAGGAAGAGGTGAAGAAGTAGGAGTGAGGGCAGTGGTGAGGGCTGAGACTAGAGGCGTGGAGGTTATGGGGGGTGTAGAAGGTTCTGGAATGGGAGCAGGAGGAGTAGGAAGAGGTGGTGAGGGCAGTGGTGAGGGCTAAGACAAGGAATGAGAGGTCAACAGAGGGAGAAGGAAGGGGACTGGAAATGGGAAGGGGAGAGGAATCTTGGTCAGAGGGACAGCAGGGAGTGGGGAAATCGGGACAGGAGCGGCAGGAGCAACATTAGGAGGAGGAATCCCGGGCACCCCTGGGGACATCATGGGTGATGGCAATGAGGAAATCTGGGCAGAAGGAATGATAGGAAGAGGGGCCAGTGTGGTCTCAGAAGGAACAATGCATACCGGAGATATGGGAACAGGGGTTGGAGCAATGGGAGGTACGGTAGTAAGTGGTAAGGAAAAAGCGGCATCAGGGAAAGGAAAAGGGAAAGATGGTGATGGTAAGGGGGAAACATCAGTAGCCATCTGTGGTAGTGGAGGTGAGGAAACATCAGCAGGGAGAGAGGCTGGGAGTGGGGAGGGAACGGAAGTAGCGGATGGTATGGCTGACTGTGGTGGGTGAAGGAAAGGATAATAGTAGGATCTGTCCGCACCAAGGACGGGGTACAGAGGGGTGGGAGTAGGAGGCCCTTTGGCAACGGGAGGTGGAGATGGGGTATTGTCTGAGGAGGCGGGACATGGTTCACTCGTAACATTCTGGCCGCCATCATAGGGCGGTGGCCGGGGAACAACAGTGAATGAATCATCATTATTACAAACATTTCTGTGATACACAAATATTGTTTGTCCTCCAAAATCAATTTCCTCTTCTGACCATCCCTCCCGTTTGAGACCTCTTGCTATACGATACCAAGCCTCTACTGCTTTCGTCAATCCATTGTCTAGTAATATGCCTTTTTTATCAACAAGCAATTTCCTCCAAAGCTCTGGTTGTAACCTACCACTGGGTGACATTTGAAAACCACAAACTTTCGCTATCTTTTTCATTTTTAACATAGCTTCTGTAACGGCACCCCGAGCATAAAAGGGGTTAAACCGCCATTTAGTAGACCTTCCCCTACCAGAGACAGACAGCTACTGTAGACACCAATCCACCGAACCGGAGAAGCATGTGAATGCTCTCAAGCATTTGAATGCTGTAAACAGCTGAATAGGAAAAACCATACAAATAGGTTTACACTCCTAGCAGTCAAACTGGAACAGCATACAATAAATCCCCCCAAGAACGAGACAAGGCTCAGTTTTGAGGGTCAAGCAGGAACATACAGAGCTGTGGGTTTATTGTTCTTATATACACATTAGTACCACCCACAGGGTTTTGGAAAACAACCAATAAACACATACAATACACTCAGACACTCCCACACAAAATCCTCCCCTCTGCCTGTGATACAATTACCTTACACAATGGGTAATGTAATTATCACCGGCAGAGAAATACAGTTTTTCCACATTATTCACGGAGCCTTGTCTCGTTCTTGGGGGGATTTATTGTATGCTGTTCCAGTTTGACTGCTAGGAGTGTAAACCTATTTGTATGTTTTTTTCCTATTCAGCTGTTTATAGCATTCATGTGCTTGAGAGCATTCATATGCTTCTCCGGTTTGGTGGATTGGTGTCTACAGTAGCTGCCTGTGTCTCTGGAAGGGGAAGATCTACTAAACGGCTGTTAACCCCTTTTATGCCTGGGGGTGCCGTGACAGTATACAATTGTCAATGTGTACTTTCCTAACACGGGTCAGCTTACTTTCTTTAAGAAAATTATGGATTTGGTGAATGAGAACATGAAAGGGACTTTGGTGATGTGTGGAGATATGAACTTCGTTAT